GAATGTCAGTGGCGTGCGATTGTCACAGGACGACGATCACAAGAGCCTCCTCTGTGAAGGCATTCCCTTGGTGAAGGAAGAATTGGTCAATGAATCACTGCGATCCATGGAAATGTTACGACACTTGCCCATGGCGGTTTGTCAATTCGATATGGAAGGAAAAGTCATGTTCCAGAATCCAGAAGCTGTGCTCTGGAAACACTCTTCGAACAACAATAGTAATAACAATAATCCACCAGGAGGAGGAGACCAAGAAAGCAAGGAGGATGACATGACCGATACCATTGACGGTTCCGCTACGGAAATCGACGACGACAATCGATCCACCACATCCACTACAACCAGCAGCAGTGGATCCACCGCGAACGCCGCTGCAAAGAAAATGGCCGGAAATTTACTCAATCGATTCGTTGACCCCAACATTGGGAAACAACTCTTGCAACAAATTCAAACGTCCACGGAACAATGTGACATGGAAGCCATGCTCAACACCAAAAAGGGACCCCGGTGGTCCGCCATTCAGGTACGCAAGGTCAAAGACCCAGTCACAGGAGAAAGTGTCATTCTATACAATGCCAGAGACAAGACCGATGCCGTCAATGCACGAAAAGAAAAACGAGCCAGAGAACAAAAATCCGAGTTTCTGGCAATCATGGCGCATGAAATCAGGTACGTCGCAGGAAGGAATACCAGTCAACAAAAGTATGTCCTTGACTTCCACACACGCTAACCTGACGGATGCCCCCTTCCCCCCCTGTCACCACTTTGTAGAACACCGCTGCACCAGGTCACTGGCTTTATCGATCTCCTGGATCAAACATCCCTCAACACGGAACAGAAATCATTTGTCAAATTGCTACAATCCTCAGCGCAGGGACTCATGACTGTGATTAGTGATGTGCTCGACTATAGTAAGTTGGAAGCTGGCAAAATGAAACTGGAATGCATACCCCACGAAGTAAGATCCGTAGTGGAAGGTTCCATGGAAGCTGTACGACAGTCATGCGAAGAAAAGGACCTGTATCTCAAACTGGAATGGAACAAGGATATCCCCTTCAAGCTCATGGGAGATCCCAACCGATTGCGACAAATACTCCTCAATTTGCTGAGCAATGCTGCCAAATTCACCAAAAAGGGAGGGATCAGCGTCAAGGCCATGACAGTTGAAGAGGAGGTGACTATCAGTAGCAAGGGCAGCAAGGAGAATCAAACCAACAACAACAGCAACAAAAGCGACAAAGTACCCATCCGACGACACAAAAGCAAACCGAGATTTCGTCCAATGGTCAAGTTTGTGGTGGAAGATACTGGAATGGGGATTTCGCAGGAGCATCGCGACGTCATTTTCCGAAAATACCAACAAGCAGACGTTTCCGTGGCGCGCAACTTTGGAGGTACGGGACTTGGCCTCAGCATTTGTCAATTGCTCACGCAAAACATGGGCGGGTCCATCGGGGTAGACAGCACCGTGGGAAAGGGGTCCCAATTTTGGTTCACACTACCAGCCGTTGTTCCCACCGAAAAGGATCCAGTTGAATCAAGTGAAAGTGACATTACGGAGGAACTGGGAAATCAACTGCAAGTGCTTGTAGTCGAAGACAACAAGGTGAACCAAAAGCTCATGGTCACCATGCTGAAGCGGATGGGCCACGCATGCGCTTTGGCAGAAAATGGCAAAGAGGCAATTGACATGATCGAAAAGACTGAATATCACTTGGTTCTAATGGACATTCAGGTATGTAGCATGGGTTGAGCCAAAAAGTGAAACGATTGATGTCCCCGTGCCTCAGCGACTTTTTGTCTTGAATGAAACTTTTGCAGATGCCTGTGATGGATGGTTTAGAAGCAACAAGGCGACTGCGAAGTATGGGGTACAACAATCTACCAATCTATGGACTTACTGCCAGTGTCGCACGATCAGATTTCAGAGAATTTGGATTCAACGATTGGCTGCCAAAGCCGATTCCGATGAAGGCTCTCAAAGCCAAACTGCATCACTTCAAACAAAATCACTTTCAACAGGCAACTCACACTGGACCACAATAACGAATCGGGCTGGGGGTGCCCGGGAACACCCACAGGGCTTTTAGATTGGCAGCTAGGGGCACTCCTGCTGGTTTGGATTGGTGCATCATGTGAAGACGCAGCTTTCTGTTGCTGCCAGCAGGGGTACGGTACTAGTAGAAGCAGTTGGGGTTCTAATTTGTAGTCCAGGTTTCCAAATCGAAATCTTTTCATTTGTTTATTCTAGAATGCTGCGCATCTATGTGGTGCATCGCTTTTGGTAGCGGTGTGAATGGTGGCGGTATGTTGTTGTAGAATCGTTACATCACATCAATCGACTTTGAACGTTGAAACTCTTGATATCTGCCAAATAACATCCTGCGAGTTTCTCTGCGGGATGATGTATCATTCCCATGCCTTGGATAATAGCATCAGACAGTGCTCAGAAGATCAGCTTGTAGTTTGACCATGTCAGGCAAACGGCAAAACATGCAAGGAGCAGCGTCGCACCTCCAAACAAAACCTGTTCGACCGAGACTGACGGGCCTTTCTTCAGCTGCTGCCCGGGCGTTTGGTATTGGTATCGAGATGAGTATGACATGGTGGATTATTTCAAGGAAATGAGATGAGTTGGATCGTTACCGATGGTGTGTCTGCTGGCCCTGCATTATTTGTGAAACCTGGGTCTGGCTTGACTGGACTGGTCTGCAAGATGGATGCATGCGTTCGCTTCCAAGCAACCTTTATTCCAGGTTTGTCAAAAAGTGGCCAGCAAGTTCTACGGCATTCGCTTCACTGCAGAAGGTGAAGATACGGGTTAAATCTTTCAACCCAAAAGAAAGTTCCTGGGGGGCACAATCGACAAAGGAGAATTTCATCCGTGCTGAACCTACCGTTTGCTAAACCGGTACTGGTAGTACCCTGCCCGCCTACCCTTTGGTTGCAACTTCAAAGAAATGGAGTTTGGAAGATTTGTTTTGCTCCACCTCCACCATCTAAAATCCAATATCTATCTAGCTAGTAGGCATGGCCTAAAACCCAGGAAGAGTACCGACGCCTTCGTTCATTGCAGGTCGCCTTACAGTTGGCGGCATTCGCAGTGCGCGCAGTACCGATGCGGATCTATCAGCGGAAGAGGTCTGGTTGCGTTCATCTCATGCCTGGATGCAACCCAAAACAGAGTGCTGTCCTGGATCTCGTTATTGCTTCTCTCGGTACTGCATGAAGGTGAGACAGCCACGCATCAACTTTGCTAGTGTTGCCCAGCTTTATTGTCTAGCTACAATCCTTGACTCTCGTGAAGTTCGCAACACCACGACCGTACTGAAGCACCACAGCCATCATTCCAAACAGCGAAAAGGAGCAGCTTCAATGAACGACACATCGCTGGTACTGTACTAGCTAGTAGCTAGAAAGATTTGTCTTGAAGCAAACTCGCCTAATTCGTGAACTCCAAGGTTGTGAGATGTGACGAAGCAGTTTTGGGATGTTCGAGCTTCTCCAATGCCTCGACGAAGGACCAAGATGTCTTCAATTAGAATCTAGCCAACCGATTTCATGTAACAGCAATGTTTTTCGGCGGAGCACCGCGACCCGCCGAAAGACCTATCTGTTGGAGCCATTGAATAGCTCTAGCTGCATGGTGGTTTGATTGTCGACTTGCTTCGTCGAGCAAATACGACGCGTCACCGTTGCGGGCTTCGCCGTTGCCTACCAGGCTCTAACTGGAGCCGTAACTGTTTTCCAACGCAAGCATGCTCGCCAGAATTGAGTCGAACGAGTCGAATAGAATTTGGAAATTCCTCCGCAACAGCTTATCGACCAATCCCTACAGCCACGGTACCACACGACGCTGACTAAAGCTTCTTGTTGTTGTCTTGGCTGGCTACTAGGAAAAGATAGAGGTGGTGGCCACCCATTCCATTTCAGATCTATATTTAGGTGTTGTGTTGTTGGTGCTGTAGCAAAACAGGAAACTGTGGGCATGACACGGGGGCAATTTATTTGATTCGGCGGCTTTGTGGATCAACCTCTCGTGAGAATACTTTGGCGTGGAAAGCACGAGGCCACAGAGCTGGCAAATTTGGTCTAGCTAGTAGACACCGTTTCTGAAGATGCCTCCAAAGCGGAAACCCGAAGAAAAGGCAGAAGGAGAAACAACAATCAAAGAGGAAGAAGGAAATGAAAAACTTAGGGCAACGGAGCCAGCAGGCAAGAAGAAAAGTGCCTGGACGGCATCTGAAGACGACGCTCTGCTAAAGGCTGTGATCGAAGATCAGCAGGATCGAGAAGCAGAAGGGAATGGGGATGAAGAGGAAGATTGGGACGAGATTGCAAAGTCAATTCCAAACAAGACGCCTGTGCAATGCTTGAAAAGGTACATGTCTTTGAACAAAAAGGGCCAAGCCAAGGGGGCTCCAGAACCTCAATCGGTACCAACAATACCAACAATACCATTAGTACCTGTGGCGGCAGCAGCGGACGCACCACCGCGCCCACCACACACTCCGCTTTCATCAGGCGGGAAGAGCGCTTGACAGCAGAATGCTGCCACCTCCTGCCCAAGAAACCAGAAAGGACCACGATCTTCATCTGATGGACTAGTGAAGAGAGACTCCTGGAAAAAGTAGTGGAACGTACAAAGACAGTTAAGTTTAGTCAATTATGGAAGTTGAGTCCGACTGGCCAAATATGATTAACTCACCATCTTTTGTCATCTTTTGATCCAGCTGCCCCCCGTTGGAATGAGGTCGCGGCTAACTTTCATGATCACAATGCCATTGACTGCCTCACAAAATGGCAAACTCTGACGAATCCTCCCGTCATCAAAGGCAAGGGGTCGTGGACAGCTGAAGAAGACAATGTCCTTAGAGAAAAACGACAGCTTTATGGTAGGAAATGGGCGAAGATTGCTGCCCATCTTCCGGGACGTCAGGGCAAGCAGTGCCGAGAACGCTTTGTCAATCACCTAGACCCTGAACTGAAAAAGGGAGAATGGACGGATGAAGCTCTCCTGATGCCAGCGAGACCGAGATGTGTACCGTGACGGCCTTGCCTTTGGGATACATGGTCCATTGTTCGGTCATGTTGAGACCGAGATCGCATTGGACGAGAAAGTCTTCCATGCGTTTGGCGGCCGCACCGGAAATGTCGTTGAAATCTCGATTCTGTAGTTCCTCCAAGGAACTGGCATTCCACATTTCCAAGCCCGCTTCATTGGCCCATCGCATGCGACGATCACAAAAGTCAAATATCCAAATGGGATGGACCAGGACGTTGAGTACTTCGAGTTGTTCGGGCGTGTAGACGCGTTCGGGGTCGTACGCTTGTGGAGGTGTTTCGGACTTTTCTTCTTCTTCGTCTTCTTCTCGAGGTGGAGGAGTGCTGTCCACTTGCTGTTGTTGTTGTTGTTCTTCTTGCGGTTGTTGATTGCTCATGATGATGTTGCTGTTGCTGCTTGTATTACTACGAAGACGAGATGGTTCACTGTCGATCACTGCAGTCATCAGGTAGGTGGACTTTGGTGGTGGGGATTTGGTGGTCGGTATCAGGCCTTGGTCAAGTCGAGGTCTTGGATTGAATATGATGCGATGGCTGGGCTAAAGTGGATTGCTAGCTTCAGACAAACCAACAGCTCAAAAGTTCGGCTCTATATGATCACAAGGTAACCAAAGCTTCTTCGTTGACGAAGGAAAAACACCTGCGTCACTGGATCTGTTGTAGTTAGTTGTTGTGGAATCTCTTTGAATGAGGTAAGGTACGAAGGACTTGTAATGCTTGATCTAGTTTTGAATTGAATTGAATTGAATTGAATTGAATGGCTAATTGCTGGAAGGAAATGATGAGGAGTGAGGAGGTGGCTCGATCTGTTCGCTTTGTTGGGGAAGAAGTGCACATGACAGCTACATGACATTGTTTGCATGGGAAATGCTGGGCGGAGTCGAGTCGGTGAGGGCTGTTTCTCCTGTTTCTGCCCCTGCCACCTTTTAAATTGGGTGCCACGGTAAACAGAAGAACTTAATAGAACACTGTTTCGCAGGCTTTGTGACCATAGAAGCCTTCTGAGGTCCTTCCTTTTAAAAATAAATCTTCGATTGCCGAACGCCGAACCAATGAAAAGTGATTATGCCATTTAACACCTTGATACCACGGAGAAATCGGACTTACTTGGAGAGCCCTGCAGTCACTGTTGAAAGTTTGAGTTGTAGCAAGGCCATGGAAGTGTTAAATGTATTGGTGCTCTTTGTGGTGAGAAAGACTCCACTGACTCAGAAAATAAATAAGCGGAAGCATCGTGCATTCTCATTCGATCTGGTCTGGCCTTATACATACATGTAACTCACATGCTTTTTTTGGGGTATTTAAGCTTCCGAAGGGGTAATATTATTTATTGGGAAAGCGCTCCGAGTCGTAAGTGATGGCTGTCACTCGACTCGACTCAGTCCAGTACAGTGTGACAGGGGGTAGAGAGCACTACATACAGCCTGTGCATCTGTGCATATGAACAGGATTTTTAGAGAGCCAGCCTGCAGTCAAATTTTGGCCTGGCAGGCGACGCGATTCCTGTGCAATTGTACAGGCGACGTGATTCCTGTGCAATTGTACAGGATCGACGTGATTCCTGTGCAATTGTACAGGATCGACGTGATTCCTGTGCAATTGTACAGGAGGTCGTATCGACGTGATTCCTGTGCAATTGTACAGAAGGTTGGATCCTGTACAATTGCACAGGAAATCGGACGTGCTTCTGCATGCTGGTTGAAGGCAGCAATACCTTTTGATTTCCCAAAACCCCTGAGTCATACAACAAAGCCAGAAGCACGACAAGCGTTGACAAAATATGGTACCTCAGCCTGCGAGATAGCAGGAGCGTTCCTCAATCGTGCATGAAACCGACCCTAACTAAAATAGGGTCGGATTTAGGGTCGGATTCTCTTTAGGGTCGGGTTTCGAAACCGACCCTAAAAATAGGGACGGTTTCTGAAAAACCGTCCCTAATTTAGGGTCGGGTTTTGATTCGTGAGTACCTGCTGCGGGTACTCGATGTGAGTACGGGTACTGAGTACTGGGCTTACTCAGTACCCATACTCACATGACCTCCGAAATTCTGAGTACTACTCAGTACCCGTACTCACCTCTAGATTCCGAGTACTTTGTGAGTCTTCGGTGGGTACTCGATGAGTACTTTCGATCAGTACTCACCGAGTACCATGAGTACTGAATAGGTACTTTGTGAGTACTTGGTGGGTACTTTCTCACCGCGAAACAGCAAAAAGATCATTATTTTCTCACTTTGGGCCCAATTGCAAAGATAAATTCTCTAAGTAATTGGTATATGAGTACTCAGTGAGTATACCGTAGTACCCAAAAAATACCTGGACTCACATAGTACCTGTACCCACTTGACCTCAGAAATTCTGAGTACTACCTAGTACCCGTACTCACTCACTTCCAGGATTCTGAGTACTACTCAGTACCTGTACTCACATGCTAAAACAGTGTGAGTACCACACCCTGATATGTATGTACAGCCTCCTGTACATATGAACAGGCCAATTGAACAGGCGTCGCCATCCTGTTCGATTGCACAGGCCGTCCATTTCCTGTGCAATTGAACAGGTGTCGCCATCCTGTTCGATTGCACAGGCCGTCCATTTCCTGTGCAATTGAACAGGTGTCGCTATCCTGTTCGATTGCACAGGAAATTGGACGTTTTTGAATTCAGGCCAAAAAAATGTCTAGCCTTGCTCTCAATCTGCAGGCATCCTCCCTGTTCATATGCACAGGCTGTATGTAGTGCTCTCTACCCCCTGTCCCTGTACATGGAGTACTCAGCTCAGTACCGGTACTAGCTAGTAGTGAACGACCCTCCTGTGTCGAAATGTCGAAATTGCTATCGAAATATCGAAATTGCTATCGAAATAGACCTGGTGAGCTCCTGGTGTTGGTTAGGTGTGGGATCATGTGGGTGTTGAGTGGTGTTGCGTTTCTTGTGATGGATGCATGGATCCAGAAGAGCGGAAGGGGGCTGCCACGAACTCGAACCGCAAATTTGATGCAAACTTGCAGGGGCGACAAGAAAACCACCTTGGACATTCCGGTACGGTGGCGGACTGAGTGGTGGTGAGGAGGAGTACGACTGTACAGCATGAATGAGAACGGGCAAGCAAACCAATATCTTTATTTCAATTCAGAAACCCTCTTTATTTCAATTCAGAAACCCTCTAGTTTTTAGCACGGCATGCATGAGAAGGGGCAATGGAGGACCACTCTAGACAACCCAAGCAAGGCTTCACCGGCACACATCTCTTCGCATTACTCAAACGTAAGCAACAACTACCATAGATCATACCCAAAAGTAGCTGCTTTCTAAAGGGATGCAGTTCCGTTTAATTTCGGAAGCCTGTGCGCCAGCAGCTCGCATATTTAGCCTTGCAAGCCATCATCAAACCTTGCCAAATGCTCCGCAACTTTTTCGGCTGTTTTTGACAAACCCTTTGTGGTGTGGCAGATGGAAACGAGTCCACCACCTCCTGCTTTCCAGAGTCCATCTCCATAGATTTTATTGTTGAGGGTTTCCACCAAAAGGTTTGAGTCAACCCCCGGCACTTCTCGCCGTTGTACTAGTTTTTGCACCCATCCATGTCCCGCCTTTTCGTATTTGAAATGTTTGAGAGACCTAGCTTCAATATTGACATGGAGAATCCGCTGGACCGATTCATCTAGTTCCATCTCGACCAAACCACGATGCAGTGCATAGGGTGATATGGATGACGTGAAAGCTGGTTTTTGCAGCATGACAATCCCCTCACCTACAGGCACCAACGCCGTGTCTCTTCTCTGCATATTGTTCCAACTCTTGTTGGCATAGTCCAGACCGGGTCTCCACATACTCTCGAACGAGCTTCCTCCAGTTCTTTTGAGATCCTGCAATAGCTCTGGCAATACTTCCAATGATTTTCGAAAGGCTTCTTTATCATCTTTGCACTGAGCATGAATTTCTCCCAGAGCACAATCCAATTTGACGCCCAGGTCGGAACTCCATTCGCCAAAATCCCCTGCTTCGGCTCCTTGAATCAAAAGATCGGAATATTCCAAAGCTTGCTCTGGTTGCAGGCAGGCCCAAACACTGAGCAAACCATCGGTATCAAAGTGATTGTTCAAGACGAAGGCATTCTTCATCTCCCGCGCATAGCCTTCGTGGAGCGCCAATTTGATGGCCATCTCGGTAGACGTGTCGGCGTACAACTCATCGGGGGTTTCATTGCCAGCCCAATGAGTCAATTCCAGAGAGACGCCTCCTGGGATGCGACCATCGCACGAGATAGTGGGTCGACTTTCATCGGGATTGTCAAAGGATGCGCCGTAGTTTACAAATTGAAACTGCCGATTCATCTTGGTGGTGGGGGCAGAGGAGGATGCCAACAAGCTCAAAAGTACTCGGAAGGTCATTGTTGGATACCGTAGTTAGTTGTCGTGTAGCAGCTTTCAAATACCCTTTTCTTTGTTTTGTGATCTGAGGCCAAGTGTAAACAATTCCTCTTGCCCTGCACCCACACCCTTACATACACGCACTTCCTCCTGTAGCTGCGGGTTGAGTTGCACGTCTTGCCGTCAAGAACCGTGATGAATGATCATAGATTATGGATCATGGTGTCGATGTGGCAGCTGTGGTGCCAACGATACGAATGAAGAAAAGATACTGCCGCAAAAGATTTGTTAAGCGAACTCCATTAGAGCTCAGGCTAACTCCGGCAAATGAGCCACTTTGGAATATCCCAAACCTTTTTCAGGGTTCCACTTACAGTCGTATCCTCCTTCACTCCCAATGACTTCATGGACAAAGATGATGATACTACCGGTAATGGTCAGTGTGTTGAGACTGCTTGGCTGCATGTACGGTACCTGGTACCGGTACTCCTTGCAACTACAAACACTTTCCCAGTAATCCCAACCGAAATGGTGCATATGCAAATGTCCAAGTGTGATGGACGAGGTGAAGGACTATATTCTTGATGCCAAACAACCTACCGGTAACAGGCTCAGATGCAGCATTATATCTGCGCCTGACCTATGTGTATGGTTGGGGCGTACGGTATACGTACTGGGCGGATCACGCTGATGTCTACTGCGATGATACAACGGAGTTCATCAACACCAGGTGCATGGAATTATTATTGAAGCCATTAAACAACTCCAAGCATCGAGCATCATCTCAGTTCGACCCAAGGGAACCTCCATCTCACCTACCGGTATGCTCAAACGAATTGATCAGGAAGAGCTGGCAAAGGCACAGGAGCACCTCGTAAAAAACCAGGCAGCCAACCAACCCAAGCAGGGACTTCCTATTCATTCTGCCTTGGTTGCTGTCGTTGTTGTTGTTGCTGCTGTACAACACAACGATGGATTGGTCGACAAGAGATAAAAGACGATATCCACCTCTTGTTGATGCGCCGCAATCGTGTCAATCCACTTTGTCCGTGGTGCCAAGCCGCCATCATTATTGTTATTGCCTCCCAGCAGCAGTTCGTAACGACCGGCCCGGTTGAGACGCAATCCAAATCGAGCCTTGTCGCTCAAATGAGTAAAGTCGTGTCGTCCTCGCAACGTCAAGTCCTTGAGTACGAAATTGATTTGCAAGAGTTGTTCGACGCAGGGAATGAGTGTGGATTGAACGTCGTCTGGCGAAATGTGATAAAAGTTCATGTGCAAATGTTCCAGAGTGTCGTTGGATTCGAGTGCCGTCAAGAGCATTTTGGCATTGGCCAATGTGGCTGTTTCCACGCTAGTTGTTGTTGTCTCATTGTCACTGTCGCTGTCGTTGACACCCTCTGCATCTGGTTCGGTACCGTCATTAGTTGCATCATCATGATCTTGCGGTGGGTCTTCTATTGCTGATTCTTCTTCTTCGTCCGCCACCAATCGCAAATGCAAAGTCTTTAAACTGGCATTGCTGTTGTTATTGTTTGGGTCATTATTGTTGTTGTTATCACAGGCTGGTTGCTGCAACAGGACTTGGGAGAGTGGTTCTCCATATTCGGCATACTCTAGATCCAATCCAATGGAATCCAAAGTAGTATTGCAGTGCAACATTTCAATCATGGCATTGCCGGCCGGCCGTTGTAGATTGCTGGAAATTTCCAGTTCATGTAGACCACCTCCAGTATTGTGATTTTGACTTTGACGTGTGCTGAGTGCTTTGGCAATGGCCGGACCGTGTCGATTGAGGTCGTCCGCCATGTTCCAGAGCTCCATTTTATGGATCGACTGGGACTGACAAATGGCAGTAAACGCACTGGCCGAAAGGTGATCAATGGCGTCCAAGTGAACGGTTTCCAGCAATGCCATGTTGCCGAGTGCCTCGAGGATCCAATCCATGCCTTGACCGTCCATTGTTGTTGTTGATGATGATTCATCTTCTTCCGCTGTGACGACAATAGAAGAACACCCGGACAAGTGAATCTTGTTAAGGGATTCATTCCGCTTCAAACAGTCACCGAGTGCCGCAAACTCGGAAAGAGTCCCTTGCAGTTTGACGCGATGCAGCGACAAGTATTCCAGTCGTCGGGTAGCCGTGGCCATGCCATTGTCGTATTCATCGTACGCCTCTTCATCATCATCGTCGCCTCCTTGTGCAACATGACAAAAAATCAACTGCTGCAATGCTTGGACGGGCAAGGGTGGTGCGTCATGAGTAAAATGCAAAATGGCATCTTGCAGATTGGGAAAACTGCCAAGGCACGTAAAGATATCCTGGAATTGTTCGTGCGACATTATAATGCCTCCTTCTTCGCCCCAGTATTCAATGCGGACGCACGCAATGGTTGATTTTTCTTGATGCGCCTGTTTAATGAGTTTCATCACGCGACGTTCCCCATCGTCCAGTTCAATCTCCAGTTTGGTTGCCATGTCTTTCATATAGTTATTGACTTGCTACTATAGCTGGAGTAGTCTTTTGATGGATCAACATCAACAAACTGTGGCAGATCCTCAGACTTGCAGGAAGGCAACATCAGTTTCGTCCCAGCTTTTGTTCTGGAAAAGTATCTTTGACTAAAAATGAGGTCAGTCACGAATTTGACGGCAGCTTGCAAAGCTAAGCTTGTCTCTGTTGACCCTCCATTTTTTGCCCCGCCCACACCAGGCATCATCCACCAACACAATCATTGACAGAGCCATCATCGATCCAGCAATCCACACTGCTCAACATCAATCACTGCAGTATGACGACAGGTACTAGTACTACTGCTGCTGATGAGATTCCGTTGGTTCTTCAAGACTTGAAGAAGCACTTGCAGTCATCCCACGGCGATGACGACAATCTCTTTGACAAATCCGCCACGGCCATGCCGGTCGCGGCCATCAAGGCGTTGTTGGGAGTCGTCGAACGATCCCAGGCAACCACCATGATGGAAATGCAAAACGAACTCAAACAAGCCAGCGACTGCATGATGAATGCCGCAACTACCAGTACCGATGGTCGCTCTCACAGTATCGCCGTCCGCAGTGGCTGCGAATTGTTTTTGAAATACGTCACCCGCACTTTTTTGGAAGAATTGCCCGATTTTGAACAATGTCGACAAGCTGTCTTGACACGAGGCGAACGCTTTGCCGGAATTTCCTTGGCGGCACGCGATCGCATTGCCGATTTGGCATCCGATTTCATCCAAGAAGGACAAACGGTGTTGACGCATGGATGGAGTCGCGTCGTGGCGTCGATACTGTTGCAAGCGGCGTCCACCAAACATTTTGATATTGTCATTTTGGAAGGACGACCCGATGCGGCCGGAGCACGGGCGGCCCAATTTTACAGTCAACGTGCCAAAATTCCCACTACGGTTGTCTTGGACTCGGCCATGGGGTATATTATGGACACCGTCGATATCGTCCTTGTGGGAGCCGAAGGAGTAGTGGAAAATGGCGGGATTGTCAACAAAATGGGAACCAACGCATTGGCGACCTGTGCACAAGCCAATGGGAAACCATTCTATGTCGCGGCGGAGAGCTACAAGTTTGCTCGATTGTATCCGCTCCTGCAACGAGACATTCCCAATGTGGGCAATATCCCCATGCAGTTTTGCGATACCACAACAAACACAACAAAAGAAAAGGAAACCTCCTTTGCCCCGGTGGATCTGTCGTCCGACAAGGTCAAGGTGGAAAATCCACCCTGTGACTACACACCACCCAAATTCATCACTCTGCTCTTTACCGATTTGGGGGTCCTCACGCCCAGTGCCGTCTCGGATGAATTGATTCGATTGTATCAATAGTAACGCACTGGGCTGAACTACATAATATAGTGGCAGCATACCAAGGCATAACGAGAAAGGATTGGAAAGAGACACACAATCAATGTGACTAGCTAGTTGTCTGGCTCTCTCTCCCCTCCCCAGTTCCGGGAACAACAAATCATGTCAATTCTGAAACAAAAAGAAACCTGTTGAGCCTACTAGCTAGCTAGTTGTGAATATAGTTCTAAGAAAAGAATAGCAGCACGAGAAACAATGATTGGAGAGAACAAATTGTACCAGCAGCGTACTAGTACTCTCAAATACCATTGGTTACTTATTAGTTAGTTTTGCTATGTTGATAACAGCAAGGGATACAAATCAAAACTGTTGTACATCATGGCCATCATTTCTGGAATATCCGGTCCCAATTCCGTGGCAGGCAAAATGGTGCTCAAATGGGCTACAAGATCATCCAAAGTTGACATGATGCGGGCATAGGCTCCATTGCCTTGGACCACTCCGGGTCGTGGATGGGAATCAATCACCAGATATTTTTGTGGTTGTGTGGAGGGTGGTGGTAGAATGGCGAGGACAGTTTCTGGTGTTTTGGTAATGAGAACCGCCAACCAGGCATCACTGGGTGCTTCTTGTCGACATGCCGAAAGTAGAGTATAGAGTCCCATGTCGGATCGGGTATTCGTGTTGGACAAAATGCCCTGTCGAATTCCTCCCGCCGTCATTTTCAATTGGGCAAATGGATTAGTATTGGTAGAAGAAGCGGCTGCCTGTAATACTTCTTCGGCCGACTTGTGTTCCACTCCACCACTGCTGTTATTATTGCATAATTGCTGATAGTTGGAAACTCCCTGTTGAATGGCATCCACCAAAAACTGAGCTTGAATGGCGGCACTGGGATTCTGCAAGAAATTGCGTGCGGCCGTCAGAGCTATACAAGTACAAGCAGATCGTCCATTATCCACACTGTATTGACTCAGGGATGCCACCACATCTTCACTGCTGCCAACGCCACCGCCACCAGTGGACGATGCCATGGTTGCGGCACCACCGGATGTTCCACCACTAAACAGAAACTCGACAGCTCGTTCCATGTTACCATCGCAGACACGAAGGGCTTCTTCGGCACGGCTTGACTCAAAGCCCATCTCCATCAACATGCTCACATTCTGGTCAGATGAAGACATCTTTCTCCTATTTTACTACGGTACCTGGGAGGTTTACATGCAAGTATTTGTGTTGTGGCTGGTGGTTGGCTGCCCGAAGATCTTTCAAGAGCCTTCCAAGATCCTCCCTCGTGGGTTAGAGCGTATTTAGGGTTACGGCTGCTTCGAACCTACCGGTACCTAGCTAGCTAGACGACGATCCCTGTCGCCTGAAACTCACAGAAACCATCACTTGCTGGGCACATCTAGCTAGCTATAGCTAGAGTAGGAAACATACTATTGTTCTTAAAAAAGCTTCTAAAAGCATAATATCAATACAGTATCCAATCGCTGGAGGACCAACAAGCAATAGCTCGGAACCATGTTTTCCATCGAGAGTGACAGCCATCAATCTCAGCAGCACCAGCAATGAGACAACCGTGCCATTCCCTTCATCAGATTCTACTTGAAAAGATAGCCAGTCACAGCATGATCATTTACTTGGGATCTAGTGTCATAAATAAGTTCTCCAGCTCCTAAATTGCAAACATACAATACAATGCGTACAATGATTTGAGCTTCAAGCAGATTTCGCCTCACTCATCAGCAGTGGATGGTGCAGCTGGTACCGACCGTACTTACCTGAATCACCGGCAGCGCCAGCCACCACAAGAAGCGGAAGCAGGTGTTCCTCTCTTGGATGGCAAATTCTTGCAGAAGGTGCTTGCTTCCATTCCTTGAGTTTTTCAAAGTTTCCTTCGTCAATAATGGTACTTTTGAGCCAGTCGTTGAATTGCAATGAGGCTTTCTTGGTCGCATGTTCTGGATTAAAGAATGCGTGCATGTTGTGAAAAGTGTACCCCGAGCCAAGGACCAATACATCCTCCTGGCGCAGTGGTGACAAAGCTCTGCCAATGGCCATGTTCTTGTCTGGGTCCAAAGATTTGTGGAGGCTGACAGAAACAACTGGAATATTGGCCTCAGGGAACATCAAGAGAAGAGGCACAAATACTCCATGATCCCAGCCTCGTTTGCTATCCAGTTCACTTTCGAGGCCTTCTTTCTCAAGGTTGTCTTTGATTCTTTGAGCCAGGGCGGGGTCTCCAGGTGCAGGGTACTTGTACTCATAAGTCTCCTTGGGAAAGCCGTAGTAATCAAATAATAGATCAGGGTTGGAGCCTGATGTGATCTGGATTGGATCGCCTTCGTAATGGGCGCTAACGACAACAATAGCGCTCGGACGTCGGGGCAAGTTCTCTGTAACAACAGCGCTCATGTGCCTGGCTAAATCATCTTGTCGTCCAATCAATGGGAGAGGGCCTCCCCCGTGATTGACAAAAAGAGATGGATAAAGGCTACAGGTATTGTCGACTGTTGGCATGGTTGCTTTGGCTTTTGACGGTGGATTTCTTGTGGGAAAGATTTGTCATATTGGTTGGAAGAGGAGAGAGAGGGGATCATCGAGGTTTTGTTGGATTCGCCGTGTCGTGTGGAGGTCGCCGACGAAGTCTGGAAGTTCTTGGAAGGTGGTTTTAAAAAAGCCTGTAGAGTGTTGGCTACCGTATTCAGCTACTTAGCCCAACTGGCATCAAGACACTACACTTACGATTATTACGACACGGTAGGCAACGGGAGGAGTGATTCAAGCAGAAAACAGCAGCTCCTTGAAGCTAACTATGATAGTTCGTTGTGGTGACGGTGGCCGCTTCCAGCCACCAGTGATCATGGCTGCCTGTGTTCCGAGTCCAACAACCTTTGACTTTGTTTTGCTGTGGCGGCAAGGCGGCATGACCACAAAGCGTTGATCCTACATGCGAGCGTCCCTCGCGATTCCACTGCAGCAAACAAATTGTGTCACAGTTGCTTGCTTTGGATCGAACTGTGCTCAGATGCGTGGACTTGCCTCCAGAGTCAGCAAATCAGCATCCATTTCAGGGCACTCCGGTATCTTTAAAATTACTAAAAATCATTATTTACCCCAACGACATAGAATAAGTCGACGTGACTCCCACCGACATTAGCGAGCCTCCCAAGACAGGTTCCGTGCCGCGCCGCAGTGACAAATTTATGAGCACTGCATGACCGTAACTGTTGGACTCGGATTGACATGAATAACGAATGAGGAATGCGGAAAACAACATGAGGTGTGGACGACATTGCCATAAACCCAGATAGAGGAAAACAAACTTCCCCGACTAGTTCCTCAAAAAGATGTATTCCACCTTCGTAATCCCAGTGTTGCTTCTGGTACCAACAAGTGCATCACAGGCGAATATGGCAAAACTTTACTGCGATGACAACTCTTGGGCGGCTGGAACGTGCACTCATCTGGGAGGCCAAAGCTTCCAACTTACCCCCAGCGACAACACTGATTCTGCAGGCGCCATTTGGAACTACATAGGCCAATCTCTCGATCTTACCCAATCCTTCATGGCAGAGGCAGATCTAAATATGATGAGTAACGGTTCAAGGGATGGTGGCATTGCATTTGTTTTGCAAGAATGCGGCACGGATTGTCTTGGTGCAAGCGGTTCTGGTCTCGGCTACAGACACCTGGACTCGTCTGGCGGAACCGTTAAGGCGATTCGTGTAGATTCCTACACTGGCGGGGGACGTCAAACAGAAGATTCCCATGTCTCCATCTGCGAGGAAAGGACCGGGGCCTTGAAGTGTGGGCCTCCAGTCAACATTGGCTACGCTAGGGATGGTTTGAACCACACTCTTCGAATATTGTATTACGCACCTTCTACGCTCTTGCAAGTGCACTGGGACGGCCGAATGGTTCTTTCTGAAACTGTAAACTTGAGGGTTGCCATGGGCACTCCAGAGGTCCTTTGGGGCTTTACAGCCTCGGGCCAACATCAGGTGGTGCACTTGAAGAGCATAGAGACTGGCGACATTTCAGAACCCACTGCATCTCCCGTTGCCAGAAGCGGTGCCACTCCGTCCATTTCTCCTTCAGCTCATGTGACGGTCGACCCAGTGATCTTTCAGGAAGACTTTGAATCAGAAACTACGGACTTTCTGTACTCGGACAACTTGTTCTTGGGCACCAAGGCGGAAACATCTTACATGGACGGCGAGCACAGTGACTCTGAATGGGGCAGGTATTCTCGAAATGATGTCGGAGATCCAAAACCTAGTGGAGGGCTTCGACTGCAGATTGCTACTGAAGGGACCATGTCCCTTCAATACTCTGCTGGATGGGAAGTCTCATTTGACTTGGTCGAGTTTGTAGAGGCTGCTGTGGTGTCCTTTCAGTACCGAGTCAGGTTGGATGACGGTTTTGGTGATGGCGACCAAGGACAGGTTCTCTTTGACCTGGACGGGAGCTTGACCATGGTCGACACCTTCAATGGATCTGATTCCTACCAAGAAGATTGGAATTGGGCTTCAGTCAATGTTGGCTTTTTGGCTGTAGGAAGACACACTGTAAAGCTGGGTGCCTGGTTTTCTCAAGCCACAGCAGGTAGCCGACTATTCGTCGTCCGTTTTGACAACTTCTTCATTACCAACCTCGCAGCCCTCCCAGCTCGATGAGTCTGGTAAAACGGTGGTCCTGAGGGAGGGGAGCGAGAAGGCAAGGAACAGAAACGAGTTCAGGAAGCTGCGATGCTGTCAAAGCGCCTGATTAGTGCGCCCCAGCTCCAGTTATGATGCCGATGCGTGCGACATGTGTGTCTGTATACTAAACGACTATGCATTGGCTTCCTCGGCCTGCACTGATTATTCCCACATGCATTACTAGATTTAACATTCACGTCTAAAAGTTTAGTTTACTGGTAGCTTTCGATCATGTTTACTCTTTGGTTTTATCATCATGTATCACAACATCATCATTTATTGAGTGAAGTTGCATTGTGCATTCTTCGTTTGTGTGTGTATGGTATGTATCCTTCTGATTGTCTATTTCTTGTGTGCTGGTGTGTATGTATGGTATCTCTTTGGATTGTCTTTCTTGGGTTTTGTCTATTGCTGATGCTGTATGGTGGGTTTTGTTCACGTGGTTTTCTTTCTTGCACACTGTTGCTATAATGCTGAACTGTTCCCCGATCTGGATCTTCCCGCTCCCTAGCTGGCTATCAAACTTCTTTGCCGCTGTGTAGCTAGAGGAGGGCAGTCTTGACCCCCACTGAACGCGTGTTCGGCGGTGGACTGGGTGTATACCAAAACTTGGTTGCCTTGGTGGTTTGTTTGGTGTAGTGGTGTTGGTGGCCATAACAGCTGCTGGCCGTGGAGGACGGTGATCCATTGGGTGTGACGGCAACTGGATTGCCTCCAGCACCACCACCTAACCCCCAATACCCCGATGTCATGCCGTATGTACTGGGATCAAAGCTCTCGGTGGCAGAGACTTTGGCGTACATGGTGTTGAGACGGTCTCTTGTGGCTTTGAATGTAGGTGATTCGTATGCTTGACCTAGGGTAGCCTTGGTAATGGTACAAAGAAAGGTCTGCTTGGCTTGCTCCGTAAGTCTCTCAAAGCGAATGGCGTCCATGGCATTGTAGATGGTGGCCAATGCTATGAGAGAGTTCTGCCGCTGCACAAAGGACGATTCACAGATCGCTAGTTCGGTAAAGTATTTGGACAACTCGTATATTTCTTTGCGTTCCGCCGCACTGACATCTTCTTCTGGTAAAAAGTGCAGGAACTCTGCCACAAAGGCCAACGGAGTGGGCACGTGGAGCTTCCATCCCAGTGCTGCCAGTATTTCCAATTCCATTTCATCAATATGCTTGGTGCCAAACTGCCCTCGACTGAGATCCGCCAGGATGCTGCTCTTGATTCGTTTGGTTTCGTGGAGCTTAATGGCCAAGTGGAGTGTCGTCAGGGAAGTGAGCAGGACCAAACTGCCCGTACACAGATTGCCCCGGATGGCCAAGTACTGATCAAAGAGTCCCATGGAAGCGGTTACCACTTCTCGCGAAAACCCGAAATGATCCACCACATTGAACGCCCATTGGGTTACCTTGCCGCGCCATGCGTCACTGAGAGGAAGAGACTGTTGCTGGTGGAGGAACGATTGCAGGCAGTAAGAAGCTTCGATTTTCCGCATGGCCAGGATCCGGTCCACCGCAGCCTCATGGTGGGCGTTGTCGCCGATTGTTTCTTCCATGGATACCGTCGAACTAAAACTGTCGCTTGCTACCATCATCGTTGCTTTGTTTGATTTGATTGAAAGAAGAAACTGAATCGGCTAGACTACTAGTACTAGTACTCCAAGGAAACAAACACTTATCTATCCCACCAGCTAGCTAGTAGCGAGTTGCCTGTGTGGTCATGAAAGTTCAGCGACTCACTCGACCCAATGCTCTTTCCCTTTGTCCTCTCGTCAACAGCAGATCAGCAGATCCATGAGAGTCGAGTGACTAAAACGTACATGTACCACATACATGTAGATACATGAAGAGGTACCGTATTGGTCGAATTTTGTCGCAAATCAGGGTCGCGTCATTGCCCATGCACCAATTGGGAATCCTACGCGCACCGCAAAGATATTATCCAAAGTTATCCCCTTATTTCCTCATTATACCCATATTTGGCTCCTCTGTATGAAGCTTTCCTAGTTTGCAGAGAGAATTGGTTGCAATCTCAAAGAAGGGAAGAGACTCCGACTCCCCTCACCTCCGAAACGAAGGGAAAGAAACGAATGCACACGTAGCCAATCAGTTGTAAAAACTGAGTTCTTACTATTATTGCAAGCTGGTCGTAGCGTGGCCAAGAAGGGTTTCTAGCTACATGTACATGTATTGGTGGGTTTCGCTGAGTAAGCAGACTGCGGAAGGAGGAAGAGATCCTGAGACCTGAGAAGAATCTTCAGGATCTTGAGATAGTAAGCGCAGCAAGCTTCGTTTGTTTGGACTCCTCGGATGCAGCAGGAGGAGTGCAACCAGTCGAAAACATCCACCCCAAAGCAAGCCACGATGATACCTTGTCCAGAGTCCTGCATATGCAATGACATATATTGGTAGCAGCCAGGTGAGAATTCAAGCGTGCCGTAGCGGAAGACTTGCTGAGCTCCACTCGGATTTGGATTACCTGGAATGGATCACATCGGCTACACAGAAACCCTGCTCGGACAGCCACGCCAGCCTTTGACAAGGCAGAGTTGCAGGGGCTTGTCGGAGGGACCCTTCCGAGCTTACTGTGTGCTCGGTACTCGCTTTGGAACTATTTGGTAAGCACCAGAGTTTGGGGGTTGTGAATTTCGTTTGTCGTTTAGAGGACGAGAAAACGTTTCATAGTGCTTTATATATTACTTATTTGGAGGAGTTGTCAGCAAAGTGGCCTGGTTAGCTCAGGTAAGCATCTCAATGGCTCCAAGCAATTTCTCTCTCCACAACATCATCATCTGATTCCATCCATAACATCTCTCCACGTAGTTTGGCAGAGCGCACGACTCTTAATCGTGTGGTCGAGGGTTCGATCCCCTCACTAGGTGTTTTTTTATGTTTCCCACCTCAACATCTCATCGTTCGAAGCTTTTACGGAGTGATAGAGCTGCATTTGTTTTGTTCTATCTGCTGACCATGGTGGTCGGTGCCAAGCGTTTTATGATTACTTCGTGTATTATCCTTGTTGGAGTGAGTTTCTCCCCCCATTTCGCACCTCCGCTCTATTCATTGGAGTGAGTTTCTTCCTCCCTATCCACCGATCCTTTTGGGGTCAGCCTCAATGAAAACTCGACTGAATCCACGTGACAACCGACTGGAGAACCGAACCCGACTCGCAGGAACCACAGGCCAGCTTTCGACCATGGTATTGGGCACCAAAAGAAACCAACATGGCCTCATAAAAAGAAACAAAGAAGTCTACAATCGTACCTACCGTACAAGTGCCACCAACATGCCAGCTTCTCGAAACCGCGACAAAGCCCGACCTCGTCCCGTAGTTCTGGAGTTGCATAACCATGAGGCGATGGAAGAGGCGCTGTCTTCTCTACGAGAGGCCACTCGCGCCAACAAGAAAATTGCAGTACCCGAGACGATTGAATTCTGTTTGCGCCACAATAGCGAACCTACGACGGCGCTCTTTCAAGACTATCTGAATGAACTCTGCAAGTATCAGGGTGGCTGTGATCAAATCAATTTGAATTTGAGGCTTTCGTCCCCTACGTTTGAGGAACAGCGAGAGCCCATACTTGGCTCCCCTTTTGTTCCCAGAAAACAAGCATTGGAAACGACAGTTGTTGCGGCCTTTCTCAAGAGTTTTCCGCAAAAGAATATCTCCTTGACGGCGTTAACTCTATCGATCACGAACTTTCGGGGCGAATTCAAGCCCGTTCTCGAGAAGCTGTCAGCACAGACTGACCTCACGGAGATAACAATTGTGATGAAAGACTTTAGAGATGTCACGTTGGGGGCCCGCGCTGCGAGCCCCAACGACTATGAACAACTTCCTTCCGTGCTCGCAATGCTTCCTAATCTTCGGAAAATAACCTTCAAGGAATCCCCTAACTTCGGGGCCACGGTATGGTCGGATACCATGGCTCGGCAGATGAAAGTCCACCTTTCTCAAATGTGGCAACTAGCTAGAAGAGTTGCACCTTGTACCGAGCCACACTCAGCACGGCATCGAGTTCGACCTTGCCCTAATGTTTTGTGATCCAGAGTATTCCTTCCACCTGAAACACTTGGCATTACGCGGTGTACCAGAGGATCATTTGGATCAATTAGCGCAAGTGATCCGCAACAACAGGGCTGAAGAGTTCACAGCAAGAATCGTTTCGGACGACTTCTTTGAAGCATTGGAAGGAACCGGGTTGAAACGGTTGAACCTTGACTCTGCTGTTTCCGAGAGCCAACTGCCTTACCTGGGTGAATTGCTGGCTCACAACGATTCCACTCTGGAGCAACTTCACATTTTGGTCAATTCGTCCATAACGATCCTACCCATCATCGAAGCCCTTCGAGGCAATACTACCTTAACAACCCTTGCCTTGAATGGCGACCATCTTCGTGAAGGTCGATTCTCTAGTTGGCCTCGACGCGCAAGCTATTGGTCTCGGACGCTCGACAGCAACGTAGATGCTTTCCATAACATGCTGCAAGAAGACAATTGTACGCTTGTTGACTTGTGCCTCCAATCAAATGTATTGAGGCCCACCAATTCGAGGCGAAAACGAAAAGTCAGTGCTACCAGTACTGACAGACTACGCCAACTGAGAAACCTTGACTTGCTTTTGCGCCTAAACAAGCATGGAAGAATCCATTGGAGTACTTGGTCGAATGCAGGCTGGGCCAAAGCGATCATTGGCTCGAAAGATGATGTTGATGTTGTTTACAGCTTCTTGCAACAGAATCCCTCCATCCTTCCAGCCTAGAAGTAAGGTTGTTGGCTGGCAACCACAAATCATGCCTTTGACGGGCTCATCAGCTCGAATGCAATTGTTGGGCAGCTTGCTACCAGGTACCCATACATAGCTAGCTTGACAGACTTCGCTTTGCTTATTGGACACTTGCTTTTCTCGGTTTGCTCACAGCCCAGGGTGCCGTGTGAGATTGGCTGGGTGGCCCTCTACCCTTCCGGTACGACGTAGAGAAGTTGCTTGTTTTAAAAATACCGGTAGGCAGTTGGCTGACAACCACAAATCACGTCTTTGACGAGCTCATCAGCTCGCATGTAGTCGTTAGGCAGCTTGCTACAGATTTTTCCATCAAGCAACCCATGTGCGGACATTAGACTAGCTATAGACTTCGCTTTGCGTATGCACTCTTGCTCTGCTCCGATAATACTCTTGCTGTGCTCGTTTGCTCGCAGCCCAGGAGCATGGTGCCGTGTTTGTTTTTTCCAGGGCGAAGGCGTGGGAGTAAAACTGGCGAGAAGCCAGCGGAACGAGAATTCGTGGCTGTGGGCGCACTTCCGCTTCGAAGTGCCTCAAATGCGAATGCAATTGCATCTGCGTCGATCACTTCCCAACCCTTCAAAAATTCAGCTTGTTGCGTGGTAACATAGAGCACTTGTATTTGCAAAGGTTGGTCGACAGCTTCCGACAAGCAGACAAAGGATACCTTCGAGAGCCTTCTGATTGAGAAATTGTCGCGTCTTGGCTGCCTCATTAATATTCTACGCCAGAATATAGTCGATCAATTCGTCTACATACCCATCCATCAGCTACCCATCAGTCAATCAATCAATAACCCATCATCATCATTATCATGTCCACCAGAGCAATGGCATCGACTGCCTTGAAGCTGTTGGCCCGTCAACAAGCCGTGCGAAAGAGTCTCATCCCGGCAGGAAGCCGACGAGCCTTTAGTTCTGCCGCCTGTGCGCTCGATGAAGACTTGGAGCGCGAACGCTTGTACGGAGGCCAGCCGTCTCCCATGTCCGAATTTCTGGACCTTGCCGTGAACCACGGCCATACATCCACCGGAGCTCCTCCCAAATACCAACTGGTCGAAGCTCCCGTGTTGAAATGTGGAATATCGGAAGACGATCTGACATTCAAGACAACCAGTTTTGGACGCCTTATTGAAGCACCCTACGTGCAACACCAAGAGCACAAGGTCACCATGTGCGTACGATGGCACGTCTTGCCACTCAACGATTTTGAAAAGCGCATCTTGATGGAACTGGTGGGAGGTCGATACAATCCCGAACAAAACCAACTCAAGCTGACATCGGACCAATTTGGAAGTCGAATCGAAAACAAGAGACATCTCACGTCCATGTTGGATCGACTCGTTTTTGCTGCCCGAAAGCTTGCGGTCGAAGCCACCAAACAAGAGTCGGTCGAAGCCACTGCGGTAGAAGAGTAGACTGACTGACTTACCGGTGGGGAGCTTTTTGTCTTTTCCCCTGCTTTTTGCTAGGAAAGTTTTCCATTTTCATGGCTTCAAGAGAAAGGCTGTCCCACCATGAGTTGACAGACGGCCACAGCCCTCCAAGAGCTTGAACCAAATTTTATCCCTTGCTATCAGAGATATATACACATGCCCACAATGCATCATCCATTTTTACATTTTACAGAAAGCGTTCAATTCAGAAAACCCAAAGATGAACGCACAACAACAGCACAGCATTTTGGAAGGAACATTCTTGGAAGACGATTTTAAAAGTAGTGGTCTAGGTTAATTAATACACAATTATATATGATTGCATTCAAAATGTAATCAGTAGATAGTGGTAGCAATGTTGCTTTCAACAAACTGCCTGGTCAATCGAAAGTCAGCAATCAGCTCTTTCCTTCTGATTCCTGTACAGAATCTGATCTGGAGTGAGCATAGGGTTGTTTTTCTCACTATTTTTTCCGGTACTGTACGGGTTTGCCTCATGCACATTCAATACATGTACTCCCTGAGGCACTCAAGACCACGCTAGCTTTCTACGGTACTACTGAGCAATTTGCAATCCAGAGAGCATTTAGAAGAGCATCAACGAAAGTAAGCTACAGTTATGGTACTAATACTACGACCCATATAATGCGGCGTGCTCGTCAGCTTCACCTGTTTCACCTTCCTTGCCAAGCCCTAAAAGTTTGTCTAGTTCCGCCTGGAAAGCATCGACACCGACTGGCAAGCTTTCCAAATGGTTGTATTGGGCATCCAGCAGCCTGTGACGCTTCACCAGCATGATGTGCTTGGCAAAGGCAAATTCCATCTGCGCTTCCACATCGGCAAGCCGAGCCAATGCCTTAGTATAGCCAGAAGGCGCAGCGGGAGACGGTGGTGGGTCCTCAACTCGTTCGGGTTCGGCAGCAGGAACCGGTGCTGCTGGTGCTTTCGTGGGAGACGATGGTGCTGACGGTGAAGGACGTGGAGGCGGATTGGCGGCCAGTGTGGCGTAGGAATTGACCATGATTCGTGGCGGTGGAGGTGCCGTCTTTCTCCAGTCCGTGGTGCCTCGGGGCGACGGTTGTGGTCCACCCGTGGATCCAGCATCATCGTCATGTCGTCTCCACGAAGGCGCAGCCGTCGCCGAAGATATTGCCAAGTCTGAATACGACGCGTAGGAAGGCCGCGGAGATAACTCGGGTCCCCGTGCGGATGATGGTCCATCGGAGAGCCCCGACAAAGACACGCGACGATCGCCATAGCGACCTCCAAAATTGCTGTAATCACTTGCTTGTCCACGACCCCCTCTTCCTCCACGGTATCCTCTCCCTCGTCCACGGCCTCTGCCACCGCGCCCGTAGGAATCACCGCGATATCCACTGCTAATGCTGTCATCGTCAAAGTTGTTGTCACCAGTACTGGAGTACAGTCTCCGTGTGGCATGGGGGGAGTCAGTTGGCGGCGAAGTCCATCTTCCTTCGTCACAAAGGCGTGAATCTGCGGCGTTGTTGCGATACGCTTCATCACCCGCGTCGCTGCCAGCCCGTTCAATGTTGTTGGATGCCGTACTGGTTTCTGTTCCATCCCGTGCAAACGGAAGCGGCGGTGGTCCTTCACCATCCTGTTCTCTTGCCACACGTTTCACAAAGGACGACTCTTCGCTGGCTTCACCATCCTCTCGACGACGCTTTGCACCCGGCGCATAGTGAGGAGATTCCTCCTGTTCCCCAGGCTCCACACTTTTTCCTCGTTCCTGTGATCCACCACGCCGAAATTCCTCGTTGGTGGCGCTGGAAAAGGATCCATACGTCCCAGTCCTCCGACCACCGGTAGTACCAGTTGGATGGGGCGAAACACTGCGTCCTCCATCGCTGCTGTTGCTGGCTCTGTCTCGTTCTCGAAAGGAGGACGGTCTAATTTCTCCAGGGGAGGGCCCTTCCATGGGCAAATCCTCGGAGAAACTGCCACTGCGTGGATGAGGAGTCGTAATTTCACCCACGGAATTATTGTCGCCGCCACCAAAGGAAGAATAGCTGTTGTCATTATTTGTGGAGGCTGCCAAGGACCCATAGGTACTTTCGGGGAATCGTCCTCCTCTTCCTGCATTGTCGTCTCTGTAATTAGAACCTCTTCCTCCTCGATGATACGATCTGCCTCCTGCTCCACTACCTCTGGATGCTCTCCCTCCCGAGTACATGTAGTCTCTTCCACGGCCTCTGCCTCCTCGTGCCGTGCTGCTCTCTCTGCCAGCTACAGAAGTGCTGCGTCGACTGGAAGAAATTCCATAATCACTCGTCGTGACACTTGTTGCTCCTCCTCCTCTTGTGCCTCTTCCCGTGCGTGTCAATGTCAGTTCTGGATTGCGCGAGGAATATCGTTCCTCTCCAAAGCGGTCACTGCTGGTGGTGTTATTACTGGCACTAGTACTGGAACTCAAACTCAATTGATACCGTCCACCTCCTCCTCCACGACCGCCGCCTCGATAGGATCCTCGCAATCCCAGTCGTCCACCGCCACTACTTCCACGGCCTCGATCGTACCGTCCAGCTCCCAAGAGACTGGTGGTTCGACCACCTCCACCACTCATGGGATAACTGCCACGAGGCGAAGTGGCAGCTTGATGGTGATATTGAGCGGCAGATGAAGTAGCAGATGTCGCTGCATTCGTGCTGATATTGCTAGCGCTAGCACCACAGGTACCACCCGCGGCACTTGCAGGATCATTGCTTGCGACAGCGGCAGTGGGGGTGGCAGAGGTTTTGCGGGCAAAGCTGGGAGGCGGCGCACTGGCCAACGACGCATACGAAGACAAGGGAGCCGCCGAGGCTGCCGCCGTAATGGTCCTTTGAGGGCCTCGATAATGTTCACGCTCTCGGCTGTGGTGTTGTTGCCCTTCAATGCGAGGGCTGGGAGGTGGAGGGCCCATGGTATCAATACGTTGTCTCTCGCTATCTTGGTCCTCTCTTCTAGCTAGTTGTGCGTTGTGTCTTGTCGCTTTGGTGGCAAGTGTTTGTTTCGTTGGGAGGAATGGCTGATAAGAAAGCCTGAACACTATAATAGAGTTGATCAATTTTGACTTGTGACTCGACTCGATTGACGTCCACGCCTCTTTCCACGCTCTGCACTCTTCCGTACTGACCCTCTCCATTGTACCCGTATGGTACCAGTAATCTAGTTCGCAGACTGCAACTGGAGAGGGACCCTAAAAGGACTACCCGTACCGTATGGTATTCGCAACAATGGCGTCCGGAGAGCGGTATCCAAGAGGCTTGATGGCGTGAGCCTTTCTCAGGTTTTAACTTCGGATAGCCTGTATTTTGAGTGGTCTCGTTGCGGACGGCACAGTCAAAACCCAATACCTGATAGAGGCGGCAAAGAGAGTTGAACATAGCAACGACTCCATCATTCTCCCCATCTTGTTTAGGGAAGCCAAACATCGAGAGCGTTGCTGAAAGTATTCAATCAGCGCAGACGTCCAACAGCCTCATTCATGCTACCCCAGCCAGTTCATTGCTGGCACGAGAAACATGTCATTGAATCCTGTATTTCTCTAGTTTGCTTCTGTAATTCCGTGTCAGCTCAAACCCCTGCCCCCCGAAACAAAAGCTGAGGTAAAACTGATTAATTGAACAGCAATAGACGCAAACGGTTCCCTCGACTCGGAATAAAGCAGAAACACCAGCAAATAGAGGCAACCAGGTGCCGAGGAACAGTGTTGATGGGGACACCACTGTGCTTCTCCGAGAGGATCCGATGAGGCACAGCAACGGTACAAGGATAAGCGGTGGTTTCATCAGGGGTGCTCGTGAATTGACCGGGCGGCATCCGATCATTCCGTCTATCTCGATAATGTGTTCTATATGTCTATTAGCTTTCTATCTTATTAGCCTTCTATCATCTAAACGTCACACGCGGCTGCTGTACCCAAGGGGAGCAAATGTGGGTGAACCGACAGCAAGTAAAACAACGTACTCAGGTCTGCGCTGTGGCGTTGTAGCGTGTCCACCATCCAAGTGAGGGAGTTCCTTGTCGTACGTGTAGTACCGTTGCTCAACCACTTTTGTCGCAGGCCGCCTCGATTCAACCCCAGAAAAAAGGCAACAGTGCCACCCCACTCGATGGGCGTGACGGAGTGACCACCCATGACGGAAAACTCTTCCAAGACGGTACGATTGGATTGCGACAGTGCCTGCCACAAGGGTTCCGTGAACGCCTTGGCCAAGCGGCTGTTGTCATTGCGGTATCGTCGAGGTTGTCGAAACTCCAATCCAAACCGTTTCAGGGTTGTGTTCCTCGCAATGCCTTGATGACAGATAATCTCCGCGTAGGCTTCGGCAGAATACGACTGGTCGTGACTTGTGCATGGTAGTTGTTGTTCCTGTTGTTGTTGCTTTTGTTTGTCTTTTGGAGACGACCAGCTGTTGTTGGCGGTATTATTATCTAAACTTGTGTTCTCCCAGTGTTGTTCTTGTTCTTGCCGGCAAATCAAGTGCAGATCAGTAAGCCTTTGATTGTTCCGTAGTATGCTGGCAATGGGTTTGGCAAACATGACCGAGGTTCCCCAGTCGATATCAAGTAGCACCTGTCGCAAGGCATGGTTATTGTTTTGTAGCATCAAAGTCAACTCTTGCGCAGCCAACGGACCAAGGTTGCATTGACAGAGCTCCAATTTTTCCAAACTGCGATTGTTCGTTAAACAGCTGGCAAAATCCGCAATGGTATCATTGACGGAGGGAATATCCCATAGCTCCAGTTGTCGCAAGTAGGGTGACGATGCCATGGCTGTGAGAGCCACGGCAGATACGGGAACATCTTCCAGTTCCAAAATTCTCATGCTATCTGGACATTCCATCGCCAAGGACACCAGAAATGGTTCCAAGCTAGACGAAGCTGCTGAATCCTGAGCTGCCGTGACGGAATCTGTTGGTTGTCGGTTGTCAACTTGAATATCCGAGAGACACACACATGCCAAGGAGGCATGACCGCGCACGGCCTGTGATAGAGCTTCAAATCCACCGTCCTCATCTCCACCATTGGTCAATAATAATGATACAGAATCCACACAGAGCATTTGCAACTTGAGCGACTGGTTCATGACATGGGCCAACAGTCTCACTGGCAATGACATGCCTCCCAAGTTGATTCGCAACTGCTCGAGATTTTCCAATTCCCCGAGACAGGAGAAGAGCAAGGACATCCAATCATCGTCTACCCAATCCTCGGCTTCTTCCGAACAAGACTGTATCTCGACTTTGGTCACGTTTGCTCGTGTATCATCCGCCAAATGGAACAGCATTGTTAGCTCCTCGGTGTCGTCTCCTTCATCGAGGTCAATCAACAGGTGGGTTCTTGGAGGAATCACTTCCCTGGAGCTGTCCAATGTTTTAGCCATGATATTTATTATCTGCTGTTGATGTGTCTGTCCCAATGATGGATACCGTAGTCTGATGGTTGGTCGGTGGTTGCGTGGCTGCCGATCTTTGGTCGAGAGCCTTCGACAAAAAGTGAGCTCTTGCGGCGAGCAGCGCTCACTGTTCGCTGTGTGCGAGCGATGACTTTCAGGTCACAAATGGTCATTTCATTAAGTATTTTATACACACTTTGGCCATAAAGGCATTTCCTCTCATCCAAAACTCAAACCCGCCTCGGCTCCTATTCCCAACACTGTTTGGTACACTGTACCGGTAGGAGCAAGCTCAAGCACAACTCCACACGACCCCCACGCATCGTCATTGCCCTGCATTTTAGGCAAGGCCCAGTATTTTTGTGCAGAGAGGGAACACCGCACACCACAAGCCGACGGAAATGCGATTGCCCATGGCCACGACAAGCCCAGCATTTTCAAATTAATTGGCGCAGAGAGGGGTTGCACCGTACCGTAGGGTAGAGTGTAAAAGCTTCAGTCTGAGGAAGGTCAAACCAAGGTACCAATGGATCGGAGAGATCCCAAAGCACGGCCATTGTCAACCTCCTCTGGGCCACACTCTCTTCAGTGTCTCAACTACTAAAGTTACTTGCTACATGCAGCTAGCTAAAATTATGCATCTTTCTCTGGTGCGGAGCAATGACGCCCCACTCAATCTTTGGCTGCTCTGCTAAGACTGGTGCTCCTCTTTGATCTCCTTCAACCACCGTGTCAATAGCGACGTGATTTCCTCGTGGGCTTGCCTCACATCCTCCGTGTCCTTGTTGTCGTCATTGGTGTATCGTAGTTCGCTGTGGTGAGCTCCATTTGGCATGTTGATGACCGGCAGAGACTCGGACAGCGATTCCAGGTGAGATCCTGCTGACCAGAGATCATTCATACCATTGGTAAACAGAATGCGTGTTGCTCCTTGACCCACAAGATCATCAAACTTGTACTCCCGAACCAATTTCAGAGGGTCCGGTACCACATCAAAACGATCCATGCAATGCTGGGTAAGCCAATCCAGAGTCCATTTGCGGTATGGGAACATGCTGTCCTTGGAAAAGCCAACAGCAGGAGTTAGTGTCGCACAGCAGTGAAAGTCAAACATCTCTCCATCGTGTCCCGTGCCAACTCCCGACCAATCCGACGCTGAGATTGTGGCATTGGGTCCTAAAGGCAGTTGCGAGCTCATATCGAAGCAAGGCAACGAGGGGTCAATGTTCTCGTCCAAGTAAAGGGTCCAGAACTTGGCAAGCTTTTCAAAGGAATCCAACGAGTCGTCTTGAAACAGGCCCGAGCACGCCATGGCCAAGTCTGTCGTTTCGTCTGGAGGATAGTTGAACATGTTCATATCCGCAAAGGCTGGCCCAATGATGAGCATGAGTTCCTCGCTTAGCATAGCACTGGATGTAATGTAGGATGGAACCGAGCCTGGGCAAATGTTGAGCTTATCATGAGCCAGGTCGAGGAACTCGGAAGTCTCCCGCAAGGCCGCATCCACCTCGAAAAGAGTAGATTGAACGGCATCGGCGCAACCAGGTGAAGCCTGCTCGGAGGTTCGGGTGACAACATCGAAATACCCAAACTGGTCGGCTTCCATAGCATACAAGAGAAGCGGGGCGGATGATGCGTATCCAATATCCACCACATCTGAAAAGTGCAGCCTCATGATGGCACTGAGAAAGCCTGGATAAGAACCACCGACCGAAATAACGGGGCAATACTCCGGCGAGCTCTTGTCCATGGAACAACCAAAGACTTCTTGATAATATTGCACAATAGTGAGCATGTCCCGTATGGCTTGCTGGACTGTAAAGTACTGTTTTAAATCGTTTGTTGTGGCCACTGCAGGATCCACAGGTTGGCTGATTCCATAAAAGCGATGTTCCGGATGCAGTACAAAGGCACCAAACAACTGGGCAAGGTGTTCTTCGATGAACCGATAAAAGAAACCGTAGTCATTGCCATCTTCCCCTCCCACAACCAGGATGATTGGATGTCCCGGTCCTTTGAAGTACTTGTCCTGAGCATAGTATCTATGCTTCCAGGTCTTGGTGTTGGATGGATCTAAATGATCCACCTTTTGCGAGAAGAAGCGAGGAATGTTTTCCGGCAATCGACCCTCGTCAGGGCTCTCTACATTGGAAGAAGGAAACCTGTTGCTCTTGTCATTGCAAAAGCCAAACCACACAAATACGGACAGGAGTACAATGGTTCCAAAAATCAAACGAGAAGACCTACTGGTGGTTACAGATGGCTCTCCATCCACGGCTTCTTGGGAATGCTTTTTGGGCTCATCTTCAAAATTCTTACCATCCGACTGTTTGACGTTGATGCTGCCATAGACGTACTCGTAAGATTTCTTGGATACCATGGTTTCAACTTCCAACTGTCAGTTTATTATTCAATCGTCAACTTTCAGCAATCCTCAAAAAGATTGGACGATCAAATAGATTATGATGTCTCTGTGGCAGCTGCTTTCAAAATAAGGTAGCTGGCTTGACGCCTCTTGTCTTGTGCATGATACTGCCGTTGATCCAAACAGAAAATTTGACTGCCAAAGGCTTGACACTTCAAGTTTGGTTTGGGGTTTGATTGGGTAACGGATTGCCGTGATGGCAATGCTATGCCAAAGACGTCAGAGGTGAGTGTCGGAACGTCGGAACCACTCACCTCGGGAAAGCGTGACTGGACTGTCACTCATTCCAAGTTGACTGACAACCAAAAATCTATGTCAGATCATTCTAGGGATTGCCCAACAGGGAGAATTGGACTGACAGGGAGAATATCAGTAGAGCTCCAGTAGAAATGTACACAGAGCTGCATACAGTATGATTTATGAGAAGGGTGGGGGGCCAGACCAAAAAGGGTGCATGCCACCCTGTGTAGAGAATGTACTGGAATGTACTGCATATTCTCCCTGTTGTTCCATATTCTCTCTGTTGGGCCATTTCTAGCATTGGATCTCAAGCGGATTCGATTCTGTTCCTTTTATGCTACAGTCAACACTCACTAAAGTTCCACCCCCCAGCATTAAGAAAAAAACGGAACTTAGCTGAATTACGGAACTTTAGATCTTTGGAGCCCCATATCGGCCCGTTCGTGGTCTTAGGACCCACTTGGGGTGGTTCCTGTCATATTCTATTGTTGTTGGGAGAAAAGGAGAGATAAGCAGTACGTCTTGGGGTGGAACTGCGTTGCTCCTATGTATGGTGTCTGTATTGTGTTGGACCAGTAGAACATGCTATGTGGCTAGCTAGTTTCGAGCTCTCTAAGATGCCTGTCATGAAAGATAGATGAAGAAACTTCATATATGTATGAATGAACAATCTGAATGCTGGGTCCTAATTGGCAGCACTGTCTCAAACTGCCACAAAGCACATTCACTTGTCAGTCATGAGAACTAGTGACTCAGGGGGGCAGCCCTGAAAAAGAGGAACTTTGTAGAGTAATGGAACTTAAGAAAACGGAACTTAAGTGAGTGTTGACTGTACCCGTACGTTTGCTTCGGATGACGAAGATGAACTTTGCGTAGACAGAGCAAGGATTTTGAGGCCATATGGTGGGAAAACGGTAGGTGGGTGAGGGCATTGCATTGTGCAATGCTGTATTCAAGGGGAGTCTGCAGAAACTCGCGTCTCACAGCTCACAGCATGGTCCCCCTTTTTGTACGTGGTACAAGGTAGCTGTGCGCACTTCGTGGAATCGCCACTTGTTCCGCCCTCCCCCACGCCTTGCGATTTTGGATCAAAGTCAGCAGGATCCTTCTTCATCCACTCTGACAACACAGTCCGGGACAGCAGCATGACACAGGGAATCTTATTGGCACCTGTAATGCAGAATGCATTGGATGCACCATTTGCACCCTCATCCCTGGCCCCGACTTCGAAGACCGGCATCCTGGCCACGAACGGCTTATTGCACTACGTATACTACAGTGACGTTGACATTGGCTACATCCTAGTTTGCGTTATTGATCATCAAAAGATACTCCAACCATCGTACGCCATTACTAGTACTAGTGCATTCAGCCCAAACATGGCTGCAATTCAACTCAAGGCCCAACTAGTCGACTCCACCATCCTTTCACTTGTGCATGGGCAGCTGGATCATCAACGTCAAGCTTCTTGGCGATGACGGCTTCGCGGATGTAGCAAGGGTACTTGAAACCACAAAGATGCAGGATGAGGTCTCGACTGTCTAAAAATAGGCAAAGTGCCGTGACTCTCATCTCAATCCAGACAAACGAAGCATTTACCAAGCCCAAAGAGGCAATGATCATGTTGTCATGACTTCCAGCCTTATCATTCCACTCCCAGTGTCCGCTTGCTATCATGTAGGCAAAAAGAGGGCCGAAAGTTACGAGATGACAGAGTCCCAGTGCCCGAGTAACGGGCAACCTTTTGTCAAGCTCACCAACTACAACCATGGCGCTGACGCGCGCAGCGAAGAAAAGGCTGCTAGTTGGGTATCCGACGCAGCCTAGCACTGGAGCAACCGCAAACTGCGGTAAGCACATGATCTTTGCCCATTGTGAAACAAGGAAACCAGTTGGGCTTTCGCATTTCATCAATGCTACAGCAGAGACGCACACAAGCAAGCAACGAAGAAGCCAGAGTGTTAGATTTCATTTTCATTTCAATGCGTCTGGGCTGATTGAATACGGGAGAGCAGTTCTCTTGTCTTCAAGGGAATTTGAGCCCAACGAAGGATATCTTGGACGTACTTGCTCGGTGATCTTGGACTACTTCGAAGCTCCGATGAAGTGGCCAAAGCAACATGGAGGATAAACTCATGCCACCTTCTGTAGTTGGTGTGGGGTGTGGGACCGAAACCATTCTTCTCCTTCTGTTCTCTCTGTTACTGTCTGTGGGAGTAGGGAGGATCTTGTACGCTTTATGAACGATAGAAGGAGAAGCGGCAAAAGCAGAAGCGAGAACAAAGAAATCTGTGCTGTATCGAGCTCCGATGTTTTTCCTTCGGGGGTTTGGGCAATCATGATCAAATCAACAACAGGTACTAGTACATCATCAATCATCAACACATCTACTGATACAGTTAATGCGTATCTGTGCGTATCTATATTTAATTATATTAGAACTAATACACCTTTGTGCGTATATTACTCGTGAAAGAGAAACAATGAGTTCCTGGGTCAAAACGTTACCCCATACTAGTACGACTGTACCCTGGCTCACAGAAACCGTTCTTCGGAAGCTCTCCGCGGGAGTTGGTCTCGGATGGGTTGACGAGTGACTGACTGCAGCGATCGATGGTTGGGATCAAAGGCTGTGGGGGTCATAGCTATACTGTCTCTCTCTCCATTGCTTCCACGGAACATTCCAGGCAGTTTTCTGATAACTTGCCAGCTGTCCAGCTGTCCAGGTAGTTTCATCTTTCTGATATGGTGCTTGTGTGGCACTCCAGTTCCCCTACAATATGAAAAAACGAAGGAGGATACTATTTCATGAAGGGACTGAGGCTTGCCGGAACGATTGCGCTTGCGTATCCACCGCGAAAGCAAACTGAAGCTTGAAACCAGCCTACAAGGAAGAAATCAGAGAGCTCCTTCAAAGGCTGTATCTTATTTGAAGTGATGCGCTGATATTAGAGTAATGATTCAAAAACATGTGGCTAGTATAATACAGGAATTTTCTAAACCTCGTAATATAGCGCAGTGGGAGGAGGCACTGGGCAGATGGAGGGATTCATGTTGAGCAAGTACTGTGTGAACCCGACATCTGCAGAGTTTGCAATGAGTGTTTCAATCCAGAGATCATGGTCAGCAGGATTCTTCAGAAGCTTGTCGCGTCCTGCTAGGTTGGCTTTCAAGAGGAAGGTTATGTCTAAGGGCAGTCCTGGGCTTTCCATCATTCCATCAATCTGAACATCCTCCAGGATTGTATTGGTTTCCAGGACAGTTCGAAGTGGACCCACAAAGGTCTCAGCAATCAATCGGGGGACTCCATTGGTCTGTGCCCCTCGTAGGCCAAAGCGGACAGATTTCAGCGAGGGGTGCCCATAAAGTGCTCCTGTCAACTGTTTGACAGTGGGAGTAACCTGGATGTCATTGCCGTCGACGAAGACAGTAAGACTGGAGAGGGATTTGTTTTGTTGAATTGCGTTGGTAAAGGATTGGCCGTATGCGTTCCAGTCACTGTCCTTGATGCGGACTTCCAGAGCTTCTAGACTCTCGTTGGCCCGAAGGCTTCGGGCAAAGCTTTCTCCGGTGGAGGGATGCAGCCCGCAGAGCCGAATACTCAGTTCTCGAACATTTTCGTTTGTATCAAGTGATTCTGCCATGGCCATGATGCCATCGTCTTCAATATGATCATCCAGAAAGCTGATGCATTTGAGACTGGGTTTGCTGCAAAGAACGCGAAGCCTCTCTGTGGAGATGGCGGCCCCGCAAATCTTCACATGCGACAATTTGCGAATGGTGGAGAGATTGCCAAAGACAGCGTCAAGGCTGCCAACTATAGGTAGGCACCAGTCTAGGTGAATCTTTTGCAAAGAAGGGTGTCCTTCGAAAGTTCTGGCAAGACTCTCGAGCTCGTGCTGGGTCCCCTTGAGGACGACATCAACCAGATCAATCACCTGGAGGGTATCTTTGGTCAACCGAAGCAAGGCATCCAAGGCAATGACTGGGAGAGGCAATTCGAATACCTTCATGGCAACCTCCTGTAAGGAAGGAAAAGCGCGACCAACTTTTTGAAAGATCAGGATCAAATCATTCTCCGTGAGAGAATCTCCCATTCCAATCCAGAACTCGGCGCTCGAACATTCGATCTGGATTTTTGTAATGGGTGTTCGTCGAGAATACCCTCTTTGGATTTCCCTGTCGAGCAGCGCAAGGATATCATCATTTCCAAGGTCAAGAGTAACGGACATGGTGACGAAATGGTGCAAGGTTTGGTTTTCTTCGTGTTTCCTTTTTTGACCGGAGCTGAGTTGGAATTGTGAGCAGCTTCAGTTTTCTTTTGACAAGCTCTTGACTTGGCTTCTGCTCTCTCCATGCCATCGGATACCGGTTTCGGCTTTCAGTGCTCGTGCTGCGAGAAGCGAGAAGAGAAGCATTGGTTGCCATCTCCAGAAACTTGAGAGCTTGAGACTTGAGAGGAACCGGAAGCGGAATGCTTCCAAGGACACTGTTCTGTGAGGGAACTGTTGAATAAGGAGAGTACTGCTTTTGCGAACATCGATGGTTTGAAAAAGGCGTTTCAGTGTTTAAGAAAGTGGTGCCCTGGTTTCTGTCAAAGAGGTTCGTCAAAACATCAAGACCAATTAACTTAACATACGAATCTGTGTTCCATGTCCAAGGAACATTCCGTTTCGGGCAAACTTCCCTCCCTTCTCTAATGTACCGGTACCACGTGCCGGTACACCGGTACCGATAGGCTATCCGAACATCTGCACAATTGATGGCCAGGCCATTCAGATTTATTTGATGAGCTCTTGATGGTTGCTCCTAAACTATTGCCTGTCAACTGTCCAGAGGTCTAGCTAGTAGCCATTAGAGTCTACCAAGAGCTAGCGGAACCTATGATAGCTCCTAGATACTTGGTGGCCTGTTGCTTGACAGGCCATAAGGTACATGTACCGGTAGCTGGCCATTCCTTTTTATTTGATGGGTGGAGCCATGGATGGTTGCCTCCTATTGCCGCTGCCAATGGGTCAATCACTATCTATGCGCATATACATGACATGTACTTGGTGGCCTGGTGACTGCTGGTGGCACCTGTACTGTAGATGGATACCGTATGCCCTGCGCTGTCCGGCTGGCTAGTGGCCAGCCCATCAATGGGGTCGATCGTCATTCATTAGGCACTAGCCACGCATACCTTACCTGGTACCGGCCGTACATGACATGTACCACTTGGTGGCCTGGTGGCTGAGTCCAGGAGGAGGCATCTCTGCTGTAGATGGATATGCACTACTACAGTGGCTACAGGTACTAGCTAGCTAGGCTAGTTGCCAACAAGCCAACTTGCTAACCATGGCAACTGTGTCGAGAACCTTGAAGACGAGACTGGATCCGCGGGAATATTTGGCCGACGAACAGCGCTCCGTGCAAGGGAAACAACTTGCATGCTGACTGAATGGGGGTATCGGACCCATCAAATGCAGCAAGCGAGCATTCCTCAGGGGGTCGGTGCCAACTTGCCATGGCAACTGGGGCGAGAAGCCTGTACAGTACCTGGTAGGGGTAGAAGACGACGAATACTAGCTAGGAAGAGGCTATTTTGCCGAATTGGGCTCAATCGAATCGGTATTTTGCTAAGTGAAGAAAGAAAACAACTTCAGCACCGTACCGGTAGACAGCAACGCCAAGAATGCATGCCGACTGTGAGGCTAGGGGGTGCACCCAACAATTCCCACGCATTGCCCTCGTTGACACCTAATACTAGCTAAGGCTGTTCCAAATCACCCTTCCTGCCCCCATCCCCCGAACAACTCAGGTCCAAGCCAGTGCCCAAGATCTGCACTCCGCCCGCGCGGTCTGCTAATGTGTTCAACAAGACGAACACGACCCCAAGGAACTGATTTTCCAACTCTCTGCTAGAGAGCTAGCTGGGTATGGTAGCTTCAGGAAGAAGACGAAAAAGCAAACCTAACCCCCGTTGACTAACCTACCCATATTGATAACGATACCGGTACATGTAGTATGGATGCCTTGAAGATGGGGTTGCGTACAGGACATTTAAGCAGCTCTTGCGGCTAATGTAGCAAGTCATGAGTATCTTGGGACTGTGCTTGCGATTCCCACCACGTCATCCGAAGACTGGGACTCCCACCAAATAATCGCCACCTGTCTTTCTCAAATGACACTTCCCATCACCTCCATCGATCAATCCGAGGCAGATGCCTTTTGCCTTTTGGAGGAAGCACAACGGCACGTTCGGACTGAACCGAATCGAATCACTCGGCAGCTTCATCCATAACATCACTCACACCTAACTAAAACAAACGAAGCAATTGGTGTTCCGTCAGATATTAGAAGAAGAAGGTCTCACAACAAAACAAAATCATGGCACTAGAAAAGAGCGAGAATCGAGTTGGTTTTGCCGTTGGCGGTAGCCGATACGCGGTAGCTTTGGTGCTTTTGATTCATTGCTCCACCATAACGGCGAATCGCTTTGGTGGGACATCATCATCATCAACATCATGGACTGCACCACTCAGAATAGGAGTGAGATCTGCCGCCAATTCTCATCCGTTTGTTTCACGGAACAACAAGAGATCCTCCATTCAATGGGCTGGCAATGATGAGAAGCCAACGCACGAGATAGATTCATGGGCACCATCATCCAATTTTCATGATAATAATAATGAGGAATGGAATGCACTGTTTCCAGAAGATCACGCTGTCAGTTACGCATCCCGTACTCGAAGAACAACCAGGGAACCTACCTTTGGTTTTCGGAGAGCGCTCAAACTTCCTACTTTTCTCGTAGGAAGAAACAGCCAATCCCATGATGTGGTACCGTGCGCTGCAGTGGCGGTTTCTAGCAAAGTCTCTGGGAGTCAGGCATCTTTTTCACCGGCTCTGCAGTCTCGTCAACAACAATCTTCACGAAAGAACAAGGAATCTACCCGCAATCAACCAAAATCTGTACAATCTACGGCGGCAGCCGCTTTAGCGATTGGGGAACCTCGGCCCTTGGTATTTTGGGAAAGTATGGTGTGTGGAGCCATTAGTCGTTCTGTGGCGCAAACCGTCATGCATCCAGCCAATACCATGAAGACTCTATTGCAACAATCCAATGCCGGACCCATCATGGCATACCTACGACCCTCCCAATTGCCAATCCTCCTTCGTGGTGCTGGAGCCAATTTTGTGCTAAGCGTTCCTCACGGCGCCATCAATTTTGCCGTTTTGGAAATGGTCCGAAAGGAACTGGGGCGGGGCGTACGAGCGTCCAAGTATTTGGCATCACGAGAAGAACGCTTGGGACCGGCATTGGATTTCATGTCATCGGCCATTTCGACGGTATGCTGCTCGGTTGTCTCCACACCCCAAATGATGATTACGGACAATATCATGGCTGGAAACTACAAGAACCTTCCTGATGCAGTCCGTGGAATTGGACAAGGAGGTATCAGTGGGTTTTATGCTCGGGGATGGTGGCCAGGGTTGGTCGGAAAGATTCCATCCTATGTAAGTTCTTCCCAGCAAGCAATCATGCATCCTACCGTACTAAAATGATTGTTTCGTTCTCACACGTGAATCTGGTTCTCGTTACATTTGATCCATTCAAATTAGGCGCTGACGTGGACACTCTTCCAACAACTGAAAGAGGTACAACGAAAGCTCACGGGACGAGAGGCCACCAACATGGAAAATTCCATCATGGGATGCATTGCGAGTGGTACCACAGTAACAATCATGATTCCCATGGATACCATCAAAACACGCCTAGTCACACAAAGCATGGCAGCGGGTACGGTTCCCTACAAGGGCATTGTGGATTGCGCGGTACGAGTGGCTCGTGAGGAAGGAATCAAGTCATTCTACCGGGGACTACCTCCTCGTCTGGTCAGTGTGGTTCCCATGATTGGGATTCAGTTTACAGTTTATGAATTTATGAAAAAGGTAATGCAAAAGAGGAAAATCAACAACATGTCCGCTCCGACACTCCCAACAGCACCCCTGGCAGCATCCACCAAAAAACATAAAAAGGGAAAGCGAAGCAAGGAGGAATCCAATTTTGATCCCTACTCCAGTTTGGAACAATTACAAGAGTCCTGCATGGAAGTTGCAGCGAGTCCAGAGCATCCCTATCCAGCACCACATTTCCTGAGAGCGCTGAAGAAGAAGGCGAAGGGCAACAACAAACGAAGGACAAAGTCGTAGGACCCCACAAGAGAAAGCAAGCAAATCAGATACAGGTAGTAACCTGCAAGCAATAGCTGAGCATGCCTTCATATCTACTAGAAACAAACTCAGAATAGAGAATCTGTCAAATAATTTCCGGTACACTTGTGTACGCTAAGACGATAGTCTATTTCAGTAGTTTCGACAATGAAGATCAGGTTCAAGGATCCAGGCAGGCAATAAACAGAGGCTAGACAGCAGGTGCCGGTTTTCAACGAACTTGTGAACATGGTTTATGGATGGTTCTGAGAAACCAAAACGCAGTGATGTGCTTGACAGGGAATACTCAAATCTACCTTTTTTGACTAGTAGGGACATAAGACATATAGAATATCGTACAACGGAACCACTACTAATGTTACATGCTGTTTTAACGCAAACATGCTTTTGCTTTCACAGATGCACATCCAAAAATGCACCAGCATAAAAGTTTGGAAATCTGAAAATAGCCATGGAAGGAAACCATCGATTGAATGATTCAATTCTACCAGATGTCACTTGAGGCACCCAAAAGAGCCGTAATCCCGGCGATGGCAATTCCAACCATGATGCTATGGGTCGATGATGCAGCCGAAGGATTCGGGACAATCTTTGCTTCGGTGATGGTGGAATTACAGGTAGTACCGTCTCCGCCGCCAACAAGGAGGAGAAGAGCGTCATTGAGATCCGACGTCGCAGCACTGGCGGATTCCGTCAACTCATCATCAGAGCATTCCTTGGGGAAGCAACCAACCACGTTGGAGAAGGAGGCTGCAACAGTCTGTTCACCGCTACATTGAAGGTCAATGTTGGCTTTGTAAGCCCGGGCGCCACTGATACCATAGCACGCCGTGATGATCTTATCCTGCGATGGAGTCACTTCATCAAAGTCAATATCCGTACAAACTAAACTCGTGTTGGCGACAACAGAGCAAAACCCGTCATCATTCCCATCAGCGGCGATCAGAGCACTGCTAAGCTCGTTGCTTGCATCATCAGAAGATGCAATCAATTGTTCGTTATCCTCCAGCGCAGCATCAGCATCGATACAGGCTTGAGATACTTCAAGGAATCGAACCTTTGCTGGCTGGGCCACGGGGACAAAGCCAAGGATAGCAGTGAATACCAATTGAAGCTTCATGGTGTCTTGATCGGTCTTCTCTGGGGTATAAAAGTGGTGCAAAGTAGGGTGCAAAGTAAAAAGTAAAATGTACCGGTGGTATGCGGAGTTGCCAGCAAGTCAAGTCGTCTTGGTTCAAAATGTGAAGAAGATTCTCAACAAAAATGAGCCTTCCGTTTGAATTTGAAAATATGTTAGTAGTACTGTACCAGTATCTAACGGTAGCCCGAACCTCTGTCGAGAAACCTACGCTTCAAAAAGGTTTCCGCAAAGATTGCATTGATCTTCGTTTCATCACAAAACATCACCCAACTTCGCCTCTAGCTAGTCTAGCTACTGTAGACTACTAGCAGACTATCTTGTTGAATTTGGCATGCTTTATGGCCTCTCTTGAGACAACAATCTTGCTCTAAAGGCAGCCAAATTCGTTAAAATTTGGTACTGCTGATACCGTACCACCTTCATCGGTAGTCTACTAGTACTGTAGGGCTTTGATCTTTGGTCGTTCATTTGGATTTACCGTATGGCTCCAATGGCTCGTCCTTGATGGAGTGTCTCTCAGTAGCCAGGAGTGAATGTCCTTTTAGACCATCGCTCTCTTGCAGCCAAATTCGTTAAAATTTGGTACTGCTGATACCGTACCACCTTCATCGGTAGTCTACTAGTACTGTAGGGCTTTGGTCTTTGGTCGTTCATTTGGATTTACCGTATGGCTCCAATGGCTCGTCCTTGGTATATAGGCGGCGCGAGCGTCCCGGCCGGCCAGAAGCCATTCGAGCTGGGATATGGGGCCCAGTGAGAGTCCAAAAGCAAAACAATGTAAATAACAAATTCGACTCACCAGGAGCTAAAAAAGTAAACTAACAAATAACGAAAGCAATGAGGTGAGAGGCGCATATGGAATTTGCGTACAACCAGTGCAGGGATGGATCAAGCTTGTAGCCCTCCTCAACATCTATATGAGCGGGAAGTCAGTAGCTCCTTGGTTGTAGAGTAGTGCGCGTAAAACAATAAGGTGCTTTCTGGTACTGTAGAAAATGTATGGGGCATCTAACTGCTGTTTGGAAGGCCTCAAAAAGAGTGGAATAAAGGTGCTGCTAGAACGTCGCAGCGCAAGGCTTGGTGCCAAACCGATTGAGGTTAAGCAGATGTATACCTACTCCAGCTATCTGTAGCTGTCAAGCTGGGGGGTGAACTTGTATTGCAAATTCCAATTCAAAACGTTGTTTTTGTTGACTGTTGGAGTCGTTATTTTACTGTTGTACTGGGACTTTAAATAAATTTTTTAAAATAAAAATGCAAAAAGAATTTATTTTAATGTAAAAATATTATGTTTTTGACTTTTTAACAAAATATTTTATAGCTACATTGCACGAAACATCACGGACTCTATTAAAAATTTATTGATAATTCTAACACATAAAACATAGCTCTAACACATCAGATCACAGCTCTGACCCACAAATATAGTTCTAATCGTGAAAATGTAGCTCTATTGCGCAAAAATGTAACTCTAATGCAATGATGTATATTCTATCATCCAAAATATAGCTTGGAGCTAAATTGCATGGCATAATACAGACAAAGTTCCACGTATGACACGACAATAAATGCATTTCACATGACAACAAAAAGCTAACATACATTGGAATAGTTCTGTGACGAGTCTCACCAGCACAGAAATCTTACACAGTTCTAATATGTTACAACAACAAATCTAAAACATGATAATGTAGTCCTAACACACAAACGCCAAAATATAGTAGACTCTTTAACGTACCAAACTGACTCAGAAACTCTGACAGCATGCGAAAATGTAGTTCTATTACACTCCTTGACACCAAAGCCAAATTGCACAATGATATATACTTCCAAAGCTAAAACGCGCGAAAGTCTAGCTCTCTCACCGTGTAATATCATAACAAAGATAATGTATTTCACATGATAATAAAGCTACTAAAACACACGAGAATAGTTCTCTCACATGTGTACTAGAAGAGACTCACTAGAATACAACAACAAAGCTAAAATACTCATCAAATGTATTAGTCAAAACTGACATGGAGAGCGGCACTCTAATACTACACAAGGAAGCTACTCTAAAAACCAACATGTAGCTCTGTCATGATATAGACACAACTAAAACGCGAGAAAAAGTATTTTTTCATGCATCTAATACACAGCATATGAGAAAGTAGCTCTGCAACGCGTGTGTGTGACATTTAGAAAGAGAACTGAAATTTGCATAAAGACAATCTAAAATGCAAAGAATATAATTCTAACATGCAAGAAGAATGTAGCTGTAACACAAGAAAATGTAAGACATAGCTCTAATGCGTGAAAACAAGCAAAAATTCAGACTCTAACACACAAAAGTCTAGCTCTAATATGAAAAATGTAATTCTATCACGCGACATTGAAGACGTTTGCATTACATAATACGAACAATCTAAAATATGCAAGAATATAGCTCTTGCTCTTGCACAAATGTGATACGACAACCAATGTTATTTCACAAGACAATAAAACAAAAATACGCGACGAGAATATATTTCTCTTACTGTTGTGCCAAAAAGAGATTTCGCTGACATAGAAGTTTTGCTTAACAACAAAGTTGAAATATGCGAGTATGAATTTCAAAAACATAAGAGTCGAGCTGTAACAAGCAAGAATCTAACTCAAACACGCGAAAATCTAACTCAAACGCGCGAGAATCTAGCTTAAACACGCAGAATCTAGCTTCATACATAAGAATATAGCACCTGTATTATGCGATAATGAGCTGCATGACATACGAATACAACTATATTACGCGAAGTTTAAGATAACTTTGCAATTCCATATGACATCAAAATTACATTCGTGATAAAGTTACGCTGTGTGGCCAATTAGCAACATTACGCGAAATTTTGCACAAAATTTTACACGACATTTTGCACGATATTTCACGTTTACGACATTTGCACACATTTTGCACGACATTTTGCACGACATTTTGCACGGCATTTTGCAGACATTTTTACGACATTTTTGCACGACACTTTTTTTCACGACATTTTTGCGACTTTTTACGGACTTTTACCCGACATTTTTAAGATTTTTACACGACTTGTTTACATGACTATTTTGCACGACTTTTTGCATGACGTTTAAGAAATACTCACAATGATGTATTTATTAATTTAATTAGACAACTAGCCAGTGGGTATTGGGGTCCCCTTTTGGGTATACCCACTGGCGACATAATGATTTTAATAGATCATTAAATTGTTTTTTAGTTTCTCAATTAAAAATTTAAAAATGAGCAAAATTAAAGGATTTATCCTTTTTTATTTTAGATTTATTTTAATATTTTGAATAATATTAGTTTGTAGAAAAACATGTGTATATAACAGAAAAATATTTTAATATTACATAAATTAGTTGTATTATTATACTATTTATTTTATATATTTATATATTTGTTACTTTTACTAGTTTAATTAGTTTTATTGCCAATAATTACTGAATCATTGTTAAAAAACAGATAACTTGCAGCTGTTTTCTGAAGCCACACTTTAGATTATAGGAATGCATTTGAGTCTGACATTGTTTTGGATTCGGGCACTGTTAAAATAGACAATGTGTTGTAGCAGAGCTAGTAGAGTGCTGATGATGGCAGCAACGAGGAGGGTCAATCACGAGGCGACCATGTCCCTTAACTTCATATGTTGACTTTTATTAATATTTCCCTGGCTGGTGGGGTCAAATCTCTCTGCCCCCATGTTATCAGTTTAGGGCACCGGTAGCAGCACAGTAGACAAGTGGTCGCCAAATTGATTCTATTCAAAAATTGCATACGTACGTGTTCCCTGTTTTCTTGTGTTCCCGCGCGTCCTTGATGGAGTTGTCTCTCAGTAGCCAGGAGTGAATGTCCTTTTAGACCATCGCTCTCTTGCCAATGCTACGGTAGATGTTGAATTCCCAGCGCTGGTGAACTTTTGGCTATTGAAATACTGTGAATGCCAAGTGAGATTGGATCCAACTCTGACACTGGTACTAGTCTGCATCTGGCCCCGCTTTGAAAACGTCCAGTCCATCTCATTTATTTATTCGCCAACAATAATATGGCTACGGCTACAACATCGTCGTCCGATCGCGACGACGACACTACTTGATCACTGGAGGATCGGAGGGAATTGGTGCGCACTGGTGTCGCAACTTGTGGCCACCGAACAGAATCCCAAGATTTCCATTGTGGGAAGATCACGAGACAAGTTTGACAAGTACCAAAAGGAATTATTGACGAACGCAGAGCAAAGACAATGCTGCCTGACATTTTATCAGTATGATCTGAGCCTCATGCACGAGGTCAAAGCCTTGGCGGCAGAACTGGAGAAATCAGGAGAACCCCTCCATGCCATTGTCCATTGTGCAGGTGGTATCTCTCTCCGTTTTC